CCATCCATCCATCCACCCACCCACCCACCCATCCACCCATCCATCCATCCATCCATCCACCATCCATGATCTGAGAGTCCACATAGCAGCACCAGGCATGACTGAGAGTATGAGATGAATAGTAGGTAAGGTGCCCAGTCTCTAGAATGAGGGTAAGAAAGTTTCGAGGACATGGGTCGCGCATCAGTATGATGAGATTGCAAATGGCCAAGGCTTTCTGAAAGGTGAAGTTCTGTTTCTGGTAGTGACTCACTGTCCAGTGGAGGGAGTTGCTACCTGGAGGAGGAAGAGGGAAGCCTTCTTACTTGTAGGCACCAGCTCTGCTGGCTTTAGTCAGATATTTTGCATTGGGTTGTGTTGAGTCACCTACCTTTGGGAAGCTATGGATGACAAGGGAGAGTGTAGGGAGGAGAAGGGCGCTGGTTGGGCTTGGCAACACAAGCTCTGGGGTGGGCCTGGGATGGACATGTAGTGGACAGTGGATGGATAATGAAGGGTGGGCGCATGGGTGAGAGATGGGTGGACAGATAAGGGATGGGTAGATGGCTGGCTGGATGAATGGTAGCTGTGTGGACGGTTACTTGGATGGATGGATGGTACATGGATGGATGGATGGATGGTACATGGATGGTTGTATAGGTGATAGGCAGGTGGATAGATGAATGTACTGGTGAATGGAAATGTGAGTGCATAGATGATGGATGGGTGAAGGTGGATGGAGACTGCACCTAGGGAGTGTAAGAAGAGCTGCGAGTGGGCCCCATCATAGCTGAGGGCAATGCAACATGAAGATGCCAGGAACCATGAGATGTGTTTAGCAGTTACTTTGTCTCCCTGAGTCTTAGGACTTTTGAGGCATCTGAACAAATCCCTTTTTTCAGGTTTGGATTTCTAGGCTTGTCAAGTAGTAATGGTCATTTGGAGACTGAGAGGACTGCCAAGTGTTTGCACTTTGTTGAGAGAGCCTAAAACATGCAAAATGCCTACTGCATTTTCACAACAGGACCTCTGAACACCAAAAAGGAAGAATTTACTTCCAGTCCCTACCTGCTGCTTTTGCAGCAGTCATTCCAAGGTCCTTGTCTTTCTCACGTCACCATGAAGCTACTGGGGCCATGACTTATGGTGCCAATTGTGCTCTGAGGGGACCAGAAAGCCTCCGCCTGTCCTCCTGGGGTGCTGTTCCATGGGGAGGTCACCAGGAGCCTGGCTACAATGACCCTTGTGCTCTTGGAAGGCAGATGATGTGGAGCTCAGGCAGGAGGTTGCCCTGCCCTGGGGTGCAGTGGGAGAAGGGTCCTAGGGCACCCTCACTGTACAGAAGCGAGGACAGCCCAGACAGAAAGAAGGCCTGGAGAGGATCAGCCCTGGGCCAGG